GCGTGGCTTGAGTGGCTTCCTTGGGTGGAGTATTGCTACAACACGTCCTATCATTCACCCTCGCGCGCGCGCCGTTCGGGTTGTGTATGGTCGACCACCACCGCCTTGCTACCTTATCTTTGCAGGTCCTCCCGCACGAGATGCTATTGACGCCCTCTGCGAATCAGACGACTTCCTAGGCGATGTGCGCGCCAGTCGCTCCGAGCTCAGCGTATGCCAAGCGCCACTATGATCGCTCTCATCGTGCTTTGGAGTTTCAGGTGGGTGACTGGGTTTGGCTCCGCATCCTTCATCGTCCTACACGATCCATTGCACAGGCGTCGCGGCAAGCTCGACCCTCGGTTCGTCGGGCCATACCGGATCGTCGAACGCGCATCGGCGAGTGGCATACCGCTTGTCGCCACCGGTAGAGCCGAGGATTCACGACGTATTCCACGTCGGGTGTTGAAGCCGCCCAGAGGTCCTCCACCGTCTACACCGCCTCTGCCTCCGCTTCACCGGGGGCGTCGCCTGCTCCAACCGGATCAAGCCTTGCGTGCAAATTGCGTCGCGAGGTCTAGCATGTGCTCATCAAGTGGGCGGTCTTCCCCAAATGGACGCAACATGGGAACCGCTCAAGGATTTCCGCGACGAATTCCCCACCTTTCAGCTTGAGGACAAACTGTTTGCCGAGGGGGGGAGTGATGTTATGGTCGGCAGAGTCTATAGACGTCGTAGTGGCTAGGCTCAACCGTGTGACAAGCTAGGCGTGGTCACCAGGGGAGTTTGGGTTAGTTTGGATTCAGAGTCATTAGAGTTTGGTTAGTTGAGATTACAGAGTCCTAAAAGATAGGGATAGTTGGTTAAGTTGAGTCCTATATGTATCAAACTCTATGGATCAATAAAGGTTAGCCAGGGATTGAGATTATATCTCCCATTGCCCCCTCCCCCACCCCCCGTAACAACCACGTCCCTTCTCTCTCATGAAACCCTCGGAGCGACGGCGCCGAGCACGCGCCACGCTCGTTCTCGTCTCTCGCTTCAAGCCTCGTCCGCCCACCCGCCACAACTATAACCTCAGAAGCCTAAGCTCTAACAAAAGGACATTCATCGGTTGATCTGGCGGTGGTTGGCACTCGGCAGACAAGCAGTATTCAGTTTCATCAGCTTATAGAGTGATGCTAGTTGGCTCAATCTGCGTGGCAGGCACGAAGGAGCTCTGGAAGGTCTGTACTCCACCGAAAGTGAAATATTTCTTTTGGATAGCTCTCCATGGTCAGCACTGGACAGCAAATAGGAGGTGGCAGCACAATTTGCAGGATTCGGACTCCTGCGACTTGTGCAATCAGGTTTCAGAGACTGGATCACCAGCTGATGGGTTATGTTCTTAGTCAGGAAGTTTGGTCCCGTCTGCTCCTTTGCCTAGGCTTGGAGGTGTTAATATCTTATTCGACAAGTAAGATGTTGGATTGGTGACTTTGGTTCCGAAGCTCTCTCGTCGTGATTTTGGTGTCCTGGCACCTCTGGAAAGAATGTAATGATCGCACGTTCAGTCGCTGCTACTCGACTCTGATCAAGAAGGTGGAGTTGATTCTGGAAGAGGCTGAAGAGCGGATTCTAGCGAGTTTCAGGCAGCTACAGTTGCTTACTGTTTTGCAATGAGTATTGTATTTGGGCCATGTGCTGAGTGTTGTATTTCTCTGTTTGGTCGCAAAGTGTTTGTGTAATTAACGCCTACGAGAACTAAATCCTCATCTGTAAGGTTAGGCTTCCCATCGAGTTCTGTATTTGTTTTCTACCCTCTAAATGAAAGAAGTGCTAAGGCACTGTCGAAAAAAAATGGTGTTAGCTAATCAGTCCACATGTGGCAACCGACGAATAGAATATTTGACAGTTGACACTCCGAAGTTCAGATTCAGCTAAAAAAAACACTTCATCAGTTTTACTGCGTCCAATTGAGTCAGTCTAACAGTGTGTTTCCTAAAACTCCTCTACAAATAAATTGAGAATATCAGTTGAGTCAAAACAAAGCTTTATTTGAATAACGGGAAGGAAAGACTTTTGAATTGGTACGGAACCCTTAAATTTAACTCAATTTTCCCCAAAGAAGTGCTCCGTTGCTCACACAAAACAAAAATTTTGGTTGCAAATATCTCAAATAATCCAAAATAGGGACGCAACATGAAGGAGCCTTTAGACAAACAACATAATGTCTGGTGAATTTAGTTAAGAATAGGATATATTTACATTCTTAGTTACAACCTCAGGAAGAGACGCTACACGCCAACAGGAGGCCAATAGCTGGGTGGTCGGGTGGATTACATATCCGCTAACGGCTACGGTCGCTACTAATGAACTACTGTACTAAACAAGGACTAAGATCCGGATCCACAGGAGGAAAGATGCGTACCTCTCGATGGCGGTGGGCAAAGCCGAGGTTACTCCTCCGTTGCGGCTGCGGCGGAGAGGCAGGCGGGCAACAAGGCGACGGGCAAGGGCGGCACAGGACAGGAGACGAGAGAGACGAGTCGAGGGTTTTTAGTGTTCTCAGGCATAGTTATGGTGGGCTGGGGTTTGGGCTGAGCCAAATGAGGCCCAAAAGAGAGGCAGATGATGGACGCGCCTGCGTTGCCATCGTTAAACAGTGATGGCAAGTTGGCAAGTAGTGGACTCATGTTCCGTGATTAGGAGAATCTGAGCGGATATTTTCACGGAGAAGAATGATTTTTTCTCTCCCGTCATTGAGGAATCCGAAGGTTTTATTTTTGTTTTCCTAGATTTTTTAATTTATCAAATAATTTATAAAATCTAAAAATCAACAGCTCAGATTTATTTGAGATATTACCTCCTCGTAGATAAAGAGTGTATCTTAGCTTGCCCATAAAAATAAAATATATAGAGATAAATAGAGATAGAGATAGATAAGAGAAGAGAAGAGGAGAGAGATTGAGACGAAGATAGAGAAGTGAAGATCGATAAAAAGAGCAGCAAAGCTTCCTTTAGATGAATTGGGATGCATTTTTTCCTTCTTTCCTGCGAACAAATTGAGGCATTGTGGATTCTAGCTACTCTAACGGAAACAAAAAAAATTGCAGATTCTATCTTTTATTACCCCTAACTGGAACGGAGAGGCTAGCGCCCAGACGTACGGTCCTAGGATGCGTCCAGATGTAGCTCTCACCCAGCTTGTAATGTTGTCTGGTTCCACCTGTCCGATCGAACCCGCAACATAAAACGATTCGAGCGCTAGAGCGTGTCTGTCCCCGTGTAATAGAACGGAGCGTGCACGCGTCACGTGGCGGCATGTTCCTACTACCCATGCTGCTTCCCAGCCTGAACGTGGGTCCCAATCACTTGTGCCCGCCTATGGATGCGCGTCGCGGATAAGCCAGCCGGCCTCAGGACACGAACGGCGCCCCAGCAGCTGCAGCAGACAGCTACGGTAGGTGGGTCCCATTGCAACTTGTGCAACGCTAGATCTATTTTTTCAACATCCAAATAAAATACTTGCAATACATCAGAAATAACTAAAACACTTGCAACATACGGCTGAAACACTTACAAACACCTAAGAACACTTGAACACGTGTGTATCCATTGTAAACCTATGCAACATCCAGATCTACTTGTGCAACATCCAGATAAAACACTTGTAATATACGTATGAAACACCTAAAACACTTCAAACATACGCTTGCAACATGCATGCATATGCAACGTCACTATCTACTTTCTTCTCAAAAAAACATCGCTATCTACTTTTGCAATATTAAAATAAAACACTTGAAACATACATTTGAAGCAACTGAAACATTTAAAACATACGCTTGCAACATGAAACATACATTTGCAACATACGTATATAGCCATTACAACATATGCAACACCCAAATGAAACACTTAAAACATACGTCTGAAACACCTGAAATACTTGAAACATGGCATCTTCGGCGGCCACGGCCTACCTGGTGGGGAACTGCGATAACCAACAAGCTCAGGTCAGGGGGGATGTCGAGAACAACTACCTAGTGTACACCTCCACCGCAGTCCTCTATACCTCGTCCGCTCCATGGTACAGGACAGCGGCGGCATGGCAGGGAAGATTGGCGAGGAGGACATGAAACGGATGGAGGCCGCCCGGTGGAGGCGCTGGAGTGGCTGGAGGAGCAAGACGGCGCCGCGGGACGAACGTCGAAGAAGGACTACGAGGAGAAGCTCAGGGAGGTGGAGGAGGTGTGCGGCCCAAACATCAAGCGGGTGGGGCGGCAGGGATGGGGGCGCGACGTTGGATGGGGGGTGCGGCGCGGCATGGGATCAGCTGCTGTGATGAATAGAAGAACGGACGCGAGCGAATGGATAAGACTTCATGAAGGAAGGTGAGTGGTGGACTGCTTAGTGGTATGTGGGCCTACATCCGATGTGTCCGGATATCGGATAAGTAGCATTATCGTAACTAGGATAAAAGAACTTGCTATTGTTCATTCGTCCACAACTCTGTTTGCTTAGATTTCACAATCCAATATAATAATCTGTCCAAACCCACCTTTTTATCAGATTGTGGCAAAGCACACGAACCCACCATTCCATTGTGCCCACATCTAAGTGAGAGAAAGAGAGAGAAGAGGGACACCAGCTTTTGAAACCCATGCACCTACACGGCTCAGGCCTACAACTTGTAAGGGAACATGTAAATGCACATACCACCATTTTGAAAAGCATGGATTTCTGAACTAAAATTCATGTGTTCCATCATTTGCTTTTGCTTGACGTATTATTCCAACGAACAACACACACAATTCTCACTCCAAGGTGCAAAACCTCTCCTTAGTAGAACCTGCTGCACCCATATGCATTACATAGTGTATCACAGTAATTAACCTAAAAAAGTGAAGGACTATGTACACTTACACGCAACTTAATTAGGCTAATATTCACAGTTACTCAGCATCATCCTCATACAACAGGTTCCATGTGAGCAAGCCTTCGCTTGCTTTTCTTTCTTGCCTCACGGCTTCACGAAGTCACGGTTGTGGGGACGATGGACGCCGGCGGTGCGACGGGCACCTCACCGGAGAGCGTCGTGCCACGCCGACCGCACCGGAGCTGGCCGTAGTAGTCTGGGAGAACAGATCGCTCGTCGTCGTCACCTGTTGGTACCGGCCGGAGTCACCCGGGAGATGGAAGTAGGACGTCGGCGAGGGCTCGTCGAAGAAGAGGTCGCCCACGGATACCTGTCCTTCCTTCTTGTACTGCACGATGGCCCTGTAGATGAACGGGATTAGGCCTTCCATGGCCAGAAATCTGCAGAAGCTCACGGGAGAGCTGGGAGACGGGAAGAGGATGAAGGAAGGAGTGGTTACGACACTTTAGGTGTGTGTGTGTGTGTGAGGGGGGGTGCAGGGGCGTTGTCTCTTGAGGTAGCAATGGAGGCAAAGGTGAGCTTAAAAAGGGAGACAAAGATGCATGACTTGGACACTTCAAATGGATAGAGACCATCAGACCAAATGGAGTTATTTCCAAGGATCTAACTGTATCTAATAATTATATTCTGATAAGATGGTACTAATAGATATTATTCTCTGACAGCTTGTGAGAGCAACTCTGGATTGGTTTGTTGGTTTTAAGTCGTGCGTATATTGTTTTTTCATCAGGCCACTTATTTGGGAAAATTGACTTTTGCATGAATTTCAACATGATATACTGTAAGTGACTAAATGGCATCGACAGAGTCGAAGACCTACATGATAACACAATTTGAAGAGATGTAACAAATGCAAGGTGAAGCATATATTATATATACTGCCCCAGTTTTATCAAGTTTAAACTTTTGGCTGAATAAAGTAGCTACCAAATGCCCACATTTCTATCAAATTTAAACCATCAGTGCATAAAGTCAGTAACTTTCAGAAAGAAAACGGGGAGAATGTTTTTGCGCGGTGGTAGGATTCCAGCACGGGGAGGAGACTTGAACGCAAGGGATGTTCAGTCTTAGAAGGCGAGTTTTACAAGTGGACAGCGACGCGGTGGAGTTTCAGTGCAGGGATATCCTTTCTAAATTCAAGTCTTGGAAGCATACGGCTTACCTTACCTGCTGCAAAAGAAAAGGAAGCCAAATGCCCGCGTCTGACTGAACTGAGAGAGGCCCCGACCATGATTGGTTATCCACCGGAATTCTTAATCCGCGCACGGAAGATCCCGGTCGTTCTCGCGTCACTCCAACCGACTCTGTCCATCTACACGATGACTTCTCGAGCATATGGGCGTCATTAGAGATCGATTATTCTGCAGCTCGTGTGGCTGGAACCGACGCAAGTTGTGAGATTGACCGTTCTAAACTAGTGAAGAATGGTGATCATGCGGGAGACGACTGAAGATGCCGGTTAGGCAGCAGTTCACACCGGCCAGATCATCTGATGCTAGTGATTTTGCCTGGTCAGCTGCAGGTAGGAGTGCTATTTATTATGCCTGGTCAGCTGCAGGTGATCAGGTCAGGATATATTGTTTAATAGATATAGTTTGGATCGGCAGTTCGGCACTGATGTGCTCGTCTCAACTAAAAAGGATTCAGGATGGGATCGAAAGATGCAGCGGAATTCCACGGGAAACCTGATACGCTTGAACTCAGACTTCAGACCTCACATCAGGGACCTGTTGCTGTCGGTGTCCTTCCTGCTTCGAGCTTCAGTTAAGTGCGTCAGAAACAATACCGCTGCAGAATCCTTGGGTGTTTCCGTTGGTAGCTCAATGTTTTCTGATGGCTCTGCCGGCATGCAGACAGTTGCGACGATGACTTGCGCCAATAAGCTGTATGCATCCGGATTTGAGATATTTGAACCTTTTTGTGCTGTGCCTACTGCCTATAGTATAGGAAGGAACGGCAGCGTTAGACTAGGCACAGTGTGCTCCGATGCTGAAAAAATACTCCTGTGCCATCTCATGCCGATGCCGAGGCTCTCTGCTACATACAACGTTCAACGTCGAGCAGCCTGTTCGGGAGGCCGTATCGTATCGTGAATTATTTACTGCTGGCTGGTTTGGTGTGCGAGAAAAACACTGTTTCCGGCTGAAAATTTACGATCGTTTACGAGCAAACGAACAGGCGAAAGGTATATGTGTTGGTGGGACCCATTTGCTTGGAAATGAAAGGTGTCCAGCATCGAGGCATGTTCTTTACCCGAGCTTGGATTTTTCAACTCAACATCGTGCTGCACAATGACACAATTCGATGCTTGAATATTCTCTCTCTTGAACATCGATATATTTCTACGTTGTGGGTAGTCCTAGAGAACATATGAATAACAAACTTTAGGGTCTATTTAGAATGGAAGAATACAAATCAGAGGATTAGAGAAAAACGTAGGAATAGGAAAGGAATAGAGGTTGAAAACACAGGATTGGAAAAATACAGGAACTCTATACGAAGTGGTGTTTGGAACACAGGATCATGGCTACCACAGGAATTTATGCGTCTAGCTAGAAACTTAATGGCTTAAGCTAAGCATAACAGTAAATGCAACTCCTTTCGTTTTATAAAAAAGCTACAAATAAGTTGAAGCATTATGGATGGTCCACGTGGCAAGATTTTATCCTCGCTTCTACTACCGTTGTTGTTTTCTAAATTCTAAGTCATTTTAACTTTTCTAGATATATAACTTTTACTATTTGCTATACACAATACACATCTATATACACACTAGGTAAATGACCGTGCGTTGCAACAGAAACACGTAATACCAAGATAACATATGTATGAGCGTCTGTTATACTGTTACCTAAAATAGATACTGCAATCGTGATGTTCTAATCAATACATGTTACAATATATGTTTTACAATATATTGTACAATTAAGAATCTAATCTCTCAATAGTTCGACCGGAAGAATGTGCTTTGCATGGACACCATGCTGCAGCTGGTCACCAATCAAAGATGATCCAGAAGATTTTCAAGTCCAAGATGCGGTGTCTGACTTCTTGCAGCTGAAGCATGCAGATGACTCAAGATGCAGTTAGAAGTATCCTGCATATTTGTTGTTTGTTAATTTTTAAAGTTAAAATACTATTGATTATCCTGGAAAAAATATGTATCGACGTGTGATGCATTACATCTTTCATAGAGTTAGAACCTCTTTATATACGATATTCTTTGTGAATATATCCTTTGTCAGTTTCTTCTTCCTCTTCTATTTTCCTTGTTCACGTCCTTCTCAGCAGCCGGCATGGCTAGAATCCAAATATTCGATCTCGCCGTAGCTCTCGATAGTGCCACATACAATTGGTCGTGCGAGAACACTGGTTTCGACAAGTATACCCCGACGTTAGGGATAGTCTGCCCCTATGCCTTGTTAACGGTCATCGCGAAGCTGAGCCGAATAGAGAACTGCTTTCGCTTAAATTGGAAAGGGAACATCTCGTCATCCGACGGACATAAGGGTATGCGAGGTAGAAAAACCTGCTTTCCAGCATGCTGTCCCAACATAATTTCTGTGTCTATGATATTCTTTTGGAACCCCCGTATGATAAGCCTGGTACCATTACAAAGTCCATTTGCAGGGTCAATGTTCCTGAGCAATATGACCGGACAACCAATCTTCAGCTTCAACACATGTGGAGGTAGACCATTGGGTGTCAAAGTGTTAAGGAATTCCTCGAGATAGTAGTTATGCGGATCATCCACCGCAAAGTCAAAGCTATGATACATCATCTCATTTCCGTAGAAACGACCTATCATCTCCATATTAATCATATCAACCCATTCGTTCCGCGTAGATAAGATCGTTCGAGAGGTGATATAATCTTTGCTTGACATATTCACATTGAGGCTAGGGAATATGCAGTCAAATTAGAGTTTCAATATCACTATCTTCCCCGGTGTGCGGTATACATATATCATGAGGGAGACGGATTTCATCGTCAATAGTCGCCTCCTCGAATCCTCAACCGACACGCAACAGTGGAATGAATTCATAACCCTGCGATAAAAAACATTACGAGCCCAGTCAAGAATCAAGTCCACAAGTATTTATCAATACTAAATTGAAGAACTTGACACTCAAGATGGTATACCTAGATAGAATGGATCAAACATATATTTAAGGATTGTTTCATTAATGCAATTCAGAAAGAGGGGCTACTGAAAAAAAAAATCTGGAACATTAGCTTGGTTACAAGACTGCACTGCACTGTATCTGAGTGACAACATTACGGAAATGTGACATTACGTCAGTCAAATATACAGTTGCAAACAACATAAATCAACTAAAACAGGTCTGCAATTTTGATACAATGGCGGTAGCTCGTCAGCTACTGAAGAATCAATCACACAGTCCACCATCACAAAATGATTCCATTGGCACTGTCCATCCAAATTCTAATATATCAAAGCAGTTTGCTTTGGCCGATAGAAACCGCGTCCATGTCACCTAGAAAATTCCATCCGTCCGATCTCCCCTCCCGATGGCCAGAATTGTTTTCGCCGGATTTTGTTAGAGCAGCTTCTCCTTCTTGTGTGCAGCTTCACCGGTTTCGCCTCTGTTTTTCTCTAACCTCCCTGGCTTCTCATCTGAATCCGGTCAGCCAAATATAAACCCGGCTTCTGCTTTTCCTTGCCGATGCTTCTCACACACACACACAAAAAACTCGCCCCCTCCTCCGTCTCCCACCCGACGCTCGCACCTCGCGACCTCGCCCGAAAACACAGGATTGGAAAAATACAGGAACTCTATACGAAGTGGTGTTTGGAACACAGGATCATGGCTACCACAGGAATTTATGCGTCTAGCTAGAAACTTAATGGCTTAAGCTAAGCATAACAGTAAATGCAACTCCTTTCGTTTTATAAAAAAGCTACAAATAAGTTGAAGCATTATGGATGGTCCACGTGGCAAGATTTTATCCTCGCTTCTACTACCGTTGCTGTTTTCTAAATTCTAAGTCATTTTAACTTTTCTAGATATATAACTTTTACTATTTGCTATACACAATACACATCTATATACACACTAGGTAAATGACCGTGCGTTGCAACAGAAACACGTAATACCAAGATAACATATGTATGAGCGTCTATTATACTGTTACCTAAAATAGATATTGCAATCGTGATGTTCTAATCAATACATGTTACAATATATGTTTTACAATATATTGTACAATTAAGAATCTAATCTCTCAATAGTTCGACCGGGAGAACGTGCTTTGCATGGACACCATGCTGCAGCTGGTCACCAATCAAAGATGATCCAGAAGATTTTCAAGTCCAAGATGCGGTGTCTGACTTCTTGCAGCTGAAGC